AGACCATCCTGGTCAACATGGTGAAACCCCGTCTCTACTAAAACTACAAAAAAAAATTAGCTGGGCATGGTGGCGCATGCCTGTAATCCCAGCTACTCAGGAGGCTGAGGCAGGAGAATTGCCTGAACCCAGGAGGCGGAGGTTGCGGTGAGCCGAGATCGCGCCATTGCACTCCAGCCTGGGTAACAAGAGCAAAACCCCGTCTCAAAAAAAAAAAAAAAAAAAAAAAAAAAGAAAAGAAAGAAATAATGCAGGATGTCAGACTTATTTCTATCCAGGAATAAAACCAATTACGCCAGAAGTAATTATTACTCACCTTTCTCCTACTGAATTAAAATACTATCAGTTGTATATTAAATGCTCACATACATCTATTTCTGTTCTCTATATTCTAGCAATCCTTGACACTTTTCAGTAGCTTTTATAACTTAGAAATAAAGATGTATGTATATATTATTAATATATAGTTTGTTACTTGGAAATAAAGACATGTTTCTTCATGAGAATTTCTGAATTATTTTATTAATTTTCCAATAAAAACACATTAGGCTGGCCAGCTGAGGTGGCTCACACCTGTAATCCTAACACTTTGGAAGGCTGAGGCAGGTGGATACCTGAGGTCAGGAGTTCAAGACCAACCTGGCAAACATGCCGAAACCCTGTCTCTACTAAAAATACAAAAATTAGCCAGGCATGGTGGTTTGTGCCCATAATTTTACTTGGGAGGCTGAAGTAGGAGAATTGCTTAAACCCTGGAGGCAATGGTTGCTGTGAGCTGAGATCACATCACTGCATTACAGCCTGGGTGACAGAGCAAGACTCCATCTCAAAAAGAAAAAATACATTAGGATTATGTTTTGAATTTTATTCAGTTTAAAGTATCCCAAATGAATAAATAATTGACATTGAGTGGATATTCATTAACACATGTCTTGAGGTTTCTTTTATAACACTTCATCCTCCTTACCCTCTAATAATAACACCATCTACTGTAATGTCTCACAATACTTAAAATATGCTAGTAATATCTGAAAATGTAATCCATTAGGCTTCTGCTTATAAGGTGATAGATTCTTTAGAGCTTTATTGTTCTATAATCTGCAGATAAAGGTGACATACCTATCTCACTGAGGCTGAGGCTGGAGGATCGCTTTAATCCGGGAGGCAGAGGTTGCAGCAAGACGAGACTGTGCTACTGCACTCCAGCCTGGGTAACAGAGTGAGACTTCATCTTCCCCCCAAAAAAAAAAAAAAAAAGTTCATTATTTTTGTTTATGTTTGAAATTTTTTAAAAAATGTTTTCAAAGCCTGATTGC